TTGTCCACATGAATCAAACCCACAAATAGTCCCAGCGGTACTTAGCCGCGACCGCTATGGAACTAATTTCGGCATGAGGATTTCGTGGGTTCCCGGTCACTCCAGCTGGACTTAGCCGCGAATGTTATGAAACGGTTTTCGGCATGAGGTGACTGTGCGGTTTCCAGACACCTTGGTTCACGGTTTTGAATCACTTTGAAATACGCGAGGAGAGTGCTTTTTGGAGGGAAGGTGCCTGAGACCAAGGAGAACAAATGCTACCTAAGAGCTAGCTGGAGCATCCCGTATTGCGGCCGCAGGAGCTCCCAAAAGTTTACAGGCAAAAGCACCAAACGCCCTGGAACTATTTTTGGCATACGACCACGTGTGCGGTTGGTCAGAACCTTAACATGATGGAGTGTCCCCTACACTGCATGGATCTGAGCGCTATTTGAAGAACTTGGGCGCTCAAATCAGGGCTATTTAATGATTTATTATTTGTGGGGTTATTGTATATTTTTATGATGTTTTGGGGTATTTTTTTTTTGTTTGCCTCTGTGCTTCCTGGGAGATAATTAGCTTACGAATCTTTAATGCAATTATCTCCCAGCCCCAGAGATTCCTGGGAGGGGCTTGTGCTGAATACAATGGAGATCCCCTGCTGGGGTCTGTGCATAAAATCAGTTGTACTCCCAGAACTATGTGTCGTCTAGTTACTGGAAGGGGAAAGGGCTTAATCACTGTTACAGCTTGTTCCAACTCTTGGAGGATTCGGCAGGGAAAGTCCTTGTAAGGACTAGAGCTCCCAGGACTATGTGTCATCCAGTTCCTGGAAGTAAATAGAGCTAGTCCCCTATCCTGCTCCAGGATGGAGATGTTCCAGGAGGACCCCAGTCAAGCCACGGCGACTGGGGCAGAAGCGCTGATGTTTTCCCCTGTTTCAACTAGGAAGCAGTCCTTGGCGGAGGTACCCAGCCGGCGGTACAGGGAGCTTTGTTACACGTGGCTTCTCCATTTTGTTAAATCATGACTCTGTGTAATATTATTATTATTTTTTTATTTATATAGCGCTATCAGGTTCTGTAGCACTTTACAATGGGTAATATGTCGCATGTTATTCAGCTGAGGATGCATTTACCTAATTTTAAGACCTGCTAAGGAATAGATGATTGTTATGTTCTGATAGGTAAAACCATAGAGGGTGTACTTTCATTTTTTTCCCATGACTTTATTTATATGATTGACATATTTTAGGGTACCAAATTAGAGAGGTAGCTGTGTTTAGTAACTAGTTTCCTATTTTCATATTCATAAATATGGCAATGCCACTTATAAAATGTATGTGCTGCATGTATATATACCACATTATATACATGCAGCACCTACATTCCAAGTTACGGAGTATACCACATTAGGGATCTATCTACTAAGCAGATGAAAGAGCAAAAATAAGAAAATCCATTTTGTATCAATTCTAATATTTCAGGCAGCTTTGCAAAGTAGATAGCTCCCTAATGTGGTATTATTTTATGGGATTAATATTGTTAAGAACTGTGGAGCTGTCTGCTAAACCATGCATGGGATCAGACAGGTGATAGACCAAGAACAGGAACTAATCGAAAGACAAGCCATTTCCTTTTTTTCCCCTTTCTCAGTGTTCTGTAGCAATGAGTTAGCAAAAATACATAACTGTAAATGTTCTGTAAAACAGATATTACAGGTTGATATTTTCTAAACATGAAGTAACCTGACACTAGTTATAACAAATGAATAAAATATTGATTTTATATATTTTCTTTGTCATATTCCATACTCATAGGTGGCCAAGGATGGTTGTGGGGTGGATGCAGTGACAATGTGGGATTTGGAGAAGCCATTTCAAAACAGTTTGTGGATGCGCTTGAGACCGGACAAGATGCCCGAGCTGCCATGAATCTACATAACAATGAAGCAGGAAGGAAAGTATGTACTATGTATTATTTCTGTAGAGATATGCAGGAACTCGTGAAGCTACCATATGCAAATAATGCACAAAACAAGCAAAAATAATCAAATTTTTTATATATGCATTACAAATGCAAAAATAAAGTACAAAAGTAATACCCATTGTATTATTTGTAAAAATAAACCTATAATTTGTATATTTTGCATTCTACCGGGTGGGCCATAATTCAGAGTAAGGTTTGAGAAGTCAATAACTGTGTTATCAATGAACCAATTTCAATGATATAACATTCAATGAATAGTTAATGAATGGAGATTTGTTAGACTAGGTATGGACGATAACATTTTTAAAATTAGTTCAATTTGCTGCCTCGCATAGTCGGCTATTTTGAGTGCATCTTTCTCAACGTTAATGTCTGAAGAACGCAGGAAGTAATCGGTAACTGAAAGGTTGGGAAAATGTGGCAGCTAATTATTCTTGGAATTTCTTGACATTATCCACTCGCTAAACAGTTGCGTCGGGATGTCCATTGTGGCCCCGGCTCTGTGGTTTTTCCACTACAAAACATAAAAAAAATTTCAGTCATATGCCGATATCTCACACCAATAAAATTCCACTAATTTTACTTGATGTTCCTTTCTAAAATTACCCATTACATCTCCAAAGACTCAGTTATAATGTGTACCTGCGACAAAAAATATTGATAAACTAACAAATAAGTCATTTACCGGTCAAATCCTACTCTGAAGTTTGGTCCACCTTGTACTTTCCAAAAAATACTTGTGCAGTTTGACTTCATTTGTAAATTTAGTATAAATGTCATAGCTCTATTTTGCACAAAAATAAGTGTGCTTGATATTTTCTTTTAGGCAGTACAAAGTACAATGAAACAAACATGCAAATGCCACGGTGTCTCGGGAAGCTGCACCACACAGACGTGCTGGCTGCAACTGCCAGAGTTTAGGGAGGTTGGCTATTATTTAAAAGAGAAATATCACAAAGCCTTAAAAGTTGATCTTCTACAAGGAGTGGGAAACAGCGCAGCCAGCAGAGGAGCCATTGCTGAAATATTCAACTCTATTTCCAAAAAGGAATTGGTACACCTTGAAGATTCCCCCGATTACTGCCTGGAAAACAAGACTCTGGGTCTACTTGGTACCAAAGGCAGAGAATGTCTCAAGCGAGGAAAGATGCTCAACAAGTGGGAGAAGAGAAGCTGCAGGCGTCTCTGTGGGGACTGTGGGTTGGCAGTGGAGAAAAGAAGAGCAGATATGGTGTCCAGCTGCAACTGCAAGTTCCACTGGTGCTGTGCTGTGAAATGCGAGCAGTGCCGTAAAAGCGTGACCAAATACTTCTGTGTCAAAAAGGAAAAACGTGAGCGGAGCGGAGGTGGTATAACCCGCAAAAAGGAAGCAAAGCTAAAGAAAAAAATTTAAAAAACTGTTTTTATTGACCTGTGACTTTTTGTTTTGTAAAATA